TTTGAAGTCAAAAACAACTGTAAGTGTTGGTAGCCTAAAATATAAAGTTGGTAATAGGCCGGTAGATTGTTTATAGTAAGGTGATTTTATTTATCCTGTGAAACAAAGTYSTATATAGCTATTTCAAAAAAGGTGGAAGAAGCAAACRTTAATAGGTTACATAAGGGACAGGAGATAGTGCATTACAAGATTCACAATTACCTGGAATGACTGGCATTTCTTATTATTATTCTCATTAACACAGACTTTTTGAAATACCTTTAGCAATACCTGTCAGACATGTACWTGTACATACACCAGTATGTAAACTATGTAAAAATTGTTTATGTTCACTAGTTTCTCATGGACCAGTTAAAATCATTCTAACGAAAGTTTATTATYAACCCATCAAACTTTGGTATTAAATTGTTTTGTCAGTAGTTGCTATATAACAATCATATAATTATTATGACTGCTATCTGCCTGACCCTCCCATGCATGGTGGAGACTTTTGCACTTTTTGTCCAGATGATTCCCACTGTTCGGCTGTTTTGGCCTGAAAAAATAAATAAAAATAAACAGCTAGTGCACATGTAAAAACATGTATTAGCCCAGCAAATACCTTAAAAAGTAGGAATCAAAGTCAARTCCTATTGGTAAAAAGACTTTACCTGTATTGAAAGAGCATGGACTCCGCCCTCAAGTTCTTTTTTGAGCACTTCATTCACCATTCTGTGTCTCTGGAATATGATATTAACCAAAATTTATTGGTCTGGATTATCAAGGTAAATATGCTTGCATGTGTTCCATTTATCAGTTTATACCACATTGTGAAATTTCTACAACATTTCAGCACTACTCCCCAGCAGTGTGTGTTTGAGTATGGGTTGGGGGGAGAGGCAGGGGATTTGCAAACTCTCTTATAACCTGTATCAATGATTTATCCTTGAAGACATCTGATACCACTATGACTTTAAAGTGTGTTTCTGAACCTGAAAAACAATTTTAGAAGTTTATTAATTAAAATTATTTAATAGCTGTGAATRTGTTTCTTTGGGCCAAAAGTTTATATACAAAAAGAATGACTAGAAGTTTTTTGAGCAAGTGTTTTTGACGATATCCATCGTCCACCATTATTTTAATAGCTACAAGATTTGAAGCCTGGAGCATGTATTTCTGTAGTTGGCCATATATCACAATTATACTGGAAATATGATCAGGGACCTTGGAGAGGAAGAGGCTTTTTACCTTTAGCAAACTATAGTCATGTATAATTTCCAATTAAAGACTCCACCCCCCCCCCTCCCCCAAAAAACACTTTTTAAGGTGCTCTGGATATCTGCAGTCCTTAATAGCTTGTAAGAGATTAAAGAAGTTTTCTTTTATTATCTTATCTTTGACCCAAAATAGATTATATCACACTTTAGCTAYAGACACACCATGCAACATTGTGCTCAATGTTATGCAGGCAATCAAGTAGCAATATGTGACAWTGCACACAATATTGCTGAGAGTACAACAATATCCTATTACAGCCTTTAGATGCATTTCATCTTTTTAGTCTGACTAATATATTTTTGATCGACAGAAGCCAAAAATTCATGTCTGGAAATTGTAGGGTTTTTTTGGTAGGAACACACACGGAGCCCCTGCATGGGTTAATTTAATACCTTTTGGAACATTGTGCATGTAACTCTCATTTAGGACTTCAAGATGAGAGGGCTGCAAGTAAACGTACAAAACAACATTGACTTACACCATATAAATTTACATAAGAACAGTTAATCTTGTGGGAGTTGGCAATAATATGGTGCAGCTTATGCATTATAGTCAATAATARTATCTATTAGTCTAATCCAACTAGTGGTCTATCATCAATGCTGCCTTTTGATTGGATGAGCTACTAGTAGGCTATAAGTAATAGCCTACTTATTGGTAGTGAAAAGTGCCTTCTTTGAAAGCCAAAAAATTGAATTTAACTTTAATCCAAAACTTGTTTGCATCTAAATATTTGACTTACTAGTTGGATTTGGCTGAAAAAGTCCCCTTCACAGTTCCCTGCTCCATCTTGAAAGGTAGCCCTGCCTTTGCATCAAAGCGAGACGAACGGTGAGCTTGCAATGACAGAGACGTGAATATTGTCCAAGGTGTTAAAAAAAAGGTCTCTATCATTGCAAGCATTTGTCTCACTTCGATGCAAAAGCACGGCTACCTTTCAAGATGGCGCAGGGAACTGTGAAGGGGACTATTGTTAATTAGCTGTGCAGTAATTAAGAGAGGGCTACACTTCTGGCTCAAAGCATCAGAAGAGGATTTCCTCTCTAAATTCTGACCAGAATCATACCTTGAACTCTTTGGTGAGATTCTCTGTGATGGTTGCCTGTACAGACATTTTCTGGGAAAGGCAAAAAAAAGTTACAATAATTGTAATCTAAAATATGAAATGATTGTCAGATTATATAACACAATAATGAATTTTTTTGCGGTTAAGTATGCATTGTTTCTCGATGGTTACCTGTAACGTTGTTGATATGCTGTTAAAAACTGTTTTGCAAATCAACTGTTGCCGAAATAGCGTAGGAAAAGCTGTAAGAGAAGAGGGAATAAAATAAATCGATCTAACGTTTTGTTTATAAAACAGGTTTATCTTCTGTCAATATTGTCACCATTTTTTAATTTTTTCTGCTGCTAAATTTAAAGCTTGAAGAAACTAGATATTCAATAATACTGGATAGGTCTCTGCAATCATTTCTTACCTCTGATCATTAGTATATTGTAAAATTAATTATTTTTCTGCTCTATTCTTATTTGGAGGCCATTCAAATAGATCGAAAAGTAAAAACCACAGGAAGCCCGTGATTACCCATAATCCTCTAAGTGACAGTTCTGCTATTTTCAAGATGGCTGACAGGAGGTGGTTGTCAAGTCGTCGAAAATCACTTATATTTCCTATTTTTCTTCTATAAAGATGTGTTAAAAGACAATTTCGGTGATGTTCAAGTCTATCTTTAGTAAGAAAAATAGAAACGATTCACTAGCAGCTAGAAATGAAGCTGAAAACAATGCTTATGAAGGGTCGTCAAGTGACAGCTCTGCACAGCAACCACTGAACGAGGTGTTGAATCAGTTGTATGACACCTTAGACCCAAGTGACCCTAGAGGATATGCAGGTATAAAAGGAAGAGTCCGAAAATCTTCGCATGGACATCTTTTTTAATTTAAATCTTTAGAGAAGGATACAGGAAATGATGGCATTGAAGAAGTGGGGGGTGGGAAGGTAGGTTAGGCCAAGAGAATAAGAGTCATAGATTTGCGTCCGGACAATTTTCAAAAAATAGATGAGGCGTTTGTTTTCATTATTCATTATAGTGGATATTATAATATTTAATAGTTATTTAATCCAGAGAGAGCATACTGCACCACAGGTAACCCATGCACGAAAATACCCGCATCAGGGTAAACCACAGAAAAATGAACATTCACTGATGTAGATGATTTGGAACTTGCATTTGGGGTAATAAATTCCTTGCTAGGAGTGCCTATTTTCCTATCTTCCTTTTGAGGGAGAAAATAGAAGGAAGGGAGAGAAAGAGGAGAGACTCTGATGCAGGGAAGGTAATAAAGTACCCTTTCATGCAATTAATGACAATTTTTGTGCATAACGATAATTTTCAGCAGTAGCTTTCAAAGCATGCGATTGGTGGACTCAATTCCATGACTCATATTCTCTTGGCCTTACAGTTGAGTCATTCTCAAATGGACCTCTTTGGCTTACGTGTAATGTTTTCCAATTACAGACCACGTGTCATTCCCAAGAGTATTATTTCTTTGTTTAASGGWTGTGCATRATAAGACATACATATAGATACAACTCTAACAAAGCATCTTAAATTATTGTTAAGAGAATAACACCTTATCTGAAATGGGAAACATTGACACTAAAGGTAATAAAAGCTCCATTTTTTCCACAAACCTTGGTTGTAAATTGCTTATAGATGCAAGTATCCAGTATAATTGTTGTCTGTCTGTCTTTACAGTTGCAGTGGCTGAAGTGGAATATCTTTGGGCCAGATACCAACAGCTAATTGTCAGAGGTCAATTGGTMAATGATGATATCTTGTTGCAGGAACCCTTTAAATCCAAACCATTTCTCAGACAGGTATGAAGCATGGGAGTACGATAGTTCCCTTTCACAGTTCCCTGTGCCATCTTGAAGGGTAGCCGTGCCTTTGTATCGAAGCACGTTCAACAGTGAGCTTGCAATGATAGAGACCTTTTTTTAACACCTTGGTCAATTATTCACATGTCTCTGTCATTGCAAGCTCACCGTTCGTCTCGCTTTGATGCAAAGGCACGGCTACCCTTCAAGATGGCACAGGGAACTGTGAAAGAGACTATTGCTGGTTTCCAATCTATTCCCAAGAGAATGAAACATCAAAAGAAACAGCTGCCAACTTGGATGATTTGACAAAAAAGATTAATGACAAATCTTTTGTTAAATTCATCCAACATGGTGGCTGTGCAAACTATTATATATACGATAGAGTGCCTGAGATTGCAGTTGCTTTTTGACTAGTCCCCAAATCTAGTCCCACTTTTCTAATCATCCTGAGGCCATTACCAGTATTTTGGTATCCTTTGAAGTTTGGAAAGTCAATTTGTTTCTTTTTGAAGGTGTGGAATACCATCCCCAGGGACTCTAATGGCAACTTGACATTTTCTGCTTTGTTTGGTGTACTGAAATGGTGGGAATCAGTTGACCAAGAGACAAAACTGAGAGGTTAGTTCATTACTGTATGATTGTATTGTATTAGATAGGTATTAAACACAAGAGCAGTGCCTCAGATGACTGTTAACAGACTCTTGGCCATATGGCTGATTGACATCTCACCATTACTCCAAAGACAGTCCACTTTCACCCAGGCATTACACAGCCAACAGTTTCAATGAAAGTATAAAACCTAACGACCGACGTAATTCAGTCAACAGGACATCTGGGGTGCTGTTCTTGCTTATTCCCCATTGGATGCAGGTGTATACAGCACTGTAGCCCTTTTGGATTAGTTTTATATTAATAATTATAATAAAAATACAAATTTAATAATTCCATTGTTTATTAGGTATCTTCAGATTACTCAATACTGGTCAACCTTTAGACATAGCAGCAATCAGGCATATCATTAAGGCAATGGACAGCAGCTTGAATGAGGTTGGTTCATATATACCAAATTAAAATATGGCATCAAATTTTGAATAATTAATGTTCAGGACTGACGAGCCTTGTGCTGACATAGAAATGCTAAAGCCTTTTCACATGCGTAAGATGATAGCCAGTCCACAATCATAGTTATTCAAATTAGTCATCATATTTCAATTTGTTGTATAGCAGCAGCACAGTTCTCAACCAATCAGAGCAAGTGTACTATCTTTGGTATATAATAAGAAATTATTTTCACTTTCACTTTGTTGGTTGCTCCTATTGATCAATAGTGAATGGACTACCAATTCATACATATAGGAAAAATTTTACATACCTGTGTGCTTTAATTAAAGGATTCCATAAACAGGAAGGCTGATTTGCTGATGACTTACTTGGATAATAGAAATCAAGGTATTTATTTTTACAATTTTATGCATCTTTTTAAGCTAGATTTGCATAAAGATAACCAAAACAGAACTAAGAATTTGCCAGACATAACTATTTGACAAATCAAATTGTGACCAGTCAATGTGATTGGTC